GCAGAAACTCTGTGATGCGGAATTGGATACGTATTTTTTAAACCCCGCCATGCGGTGACGCCACGAGCGGCGGGGACGACGGCATTTTATGATTACGGGCTGGCTTGTTTGATCACGCTCCACCATCCTGTGCCTTGCAAAGTCACGTGATGTATATGAAGGTTCAACCCTACAAGGAGCACACCCAGGGGTTGTCTGACAGTTCAGAATTGTTCAGTATTTCAGTGAGTTCCGGGAACTCTGGGACGTGCTGTGGAAACGCTCCGCCAGCCCCCCCCCCTCCCCTCCACCGTCCCTGAGAAGGAGCACGCGTCCATCCGGGCGAAGGAGGCCAAGGCGGACCAGGGCTGAGACCAGCTCTGGACCTATGCGCTCTGTGGGGCCATCGCAGGGGGGTGAGTCAGGGGACTCCCTTCTCCAATGGGCCAAGAGCCATGGCACTGTCTCAAAGAACTCCTGACGGTTGTCATGAATAAACTGAGAAACCTCCCAAAGATTCTATTTCAGTGAAAGCCAGGCCCCGGTGGCTCACAGCTATAGCCCTAGTGACTCAGGAGGCAGAGATCTGCGGATCACATTCAGAGTCAGCCCAGGCAGGAAAGCCCGTGAGACTTTTATCTCCACTTGAGCTGTGGCTCAAGTGGTGTAAACACTAACCTTGAGCAGAAAACTCAGAGACATTGCCTAAGCCCTGAGTTCAAGCACACACACACACACACACACACACACACACACACACACACTTTTTAAGTCTTTTTAAGTATGTACATTGTTTGTGACGTTATTGCATAAATGATAGGCTGCAGCAAACCCTGAATATAATTTTTATATTCATTAGGAAACAGAAAAGCTGACTTGCTTTATTGAGATATTCACTTAGGTATAGTGATCTATAAATGAAGCTACAATATCTCTACCAAAATATTAAATGTCGCAAAACAAAAAGTGTTCTCATTCTCCACAGTAATGAGTACAGAACTTTGCACTTAGGAGATTACAGTAAGTCAAGTTGAATTGAATTTCTATTTCTTTAGTTTCAAAGTCTATGTACACAAAATAAACACTGTAATTGCATTGATTTTTCATTTTATTTTTGTGTTGGTTGCAGAGTTTGAACTCGGGTCTCAGGTGCTCTTAACTTTTGTTTTTTTCCCCTCAAGGTTGGTGCTCTACCATGTGAGTTCCTCAGCTCTCAGCTTGCTGAGTAGCTAGGCACAGGCCACTGTCTCCCAGCTTCAAATTTTCATTTTAATGGGGTTTAATAACATATAAAGGTTTCAGGATGATTGACTCAGATCTGAAACATACCAATTTTAAAGAGATCTAAAACAAATAAATAACTGGCTGCCATTATTTTTCAACAAAACCTCTTAGTTGATTTTAAGTTTTATCCTGTTTTCATGATAGTGGGTTTGAACTCAGGACTTTATGTTTGCTAAGTAGGTACTTTTACTCCTTGAGCCATACCTCCACCCCTTTTGACCTTGCATTTGAGATAGTGTCTCATTTTTTCATGTGGGCCAGTCTGGACAGCAGTTTTCCTATTTACACTACAAGCTACCATGATTCATGAGAATACATGAACCATCATACCTAGGTATTAACTGATATGGGGTCTTATGAACAAAATGTCTGGCTGGCATAAAACTGTGATCTTCTCAATCTCAGCATCTTGAGTATGTAATATTAGATGTGAGCCACCGAACCTCATGCTTTTGATCTAAATTAATACATATGCTCATAAATATTTACTAACCAAAACAATAAAAAATCTCACCTGAAAGTTTCTTTTCTTTTTTACTTATCTTCTAAGGCTAATGCTTAAAAAATTCTAAAATTTCTTAGATGGGCTTCAACTTCATATGGTATATACATAAAAAATAAATTAGAAATAAGCTTTGCTTAGAATGCCCATCAATAAGTTTGAGATTTAATTTATTGAAAAATAGTATGTCTTTCTGTTAAAGTCAGCATAACAAGGTTTTTATTTTATACCATTAAAAGCTAAATGATAGTAACTATACTAATAGTTTATTATTGCTCAAAACCAAGATAACAAGGTTCGAACAATGACTAGATTTTTAAAAACTAAAGCAGTCAATAACAAAATACATGAACACCATGTAACAAACAATCTAAATAACAGATTTACTAACAGCATTATTTTGCTTTCACAGAATACTTTAAGAACATAAAAAAATGACAATTCAAATTAGGTCCTGTCAAAATCAAATAAAGAATGAAACAATTATTTCTAAGTGTAAATCAATTTTAAGCTCATTAGAAAAAAAGCCACATTTTGAGAAAAAAGAAAGTACTTTTCAAAAAGTTACAATTGAATGAGAAAATCAATCAGCCCCTCAACTGTGCTGAAAAAAAGTCAACGAAACTGATCAAGAGATAAAGCGTTAACAATTATGATTTTTTAAAATGAAAAGCATAGTTTGAGGTTAGGGGTCTCCATATTTTCTTTTAATAAGATTTTGTTGTTGTTACAAAATGCCATCAAATATTCCCAGAAAACTCTTCATTTCTCCAGCTGCTTCGACAGGATGATAATAACTAAGGGGGAAAGATCAAGTGTAAAATTAACCTTTTGTAAAACAATTTATTTTAGAATACAGAACACAGTGTAATATGAATACAACATATTAACTTGAAGATTGTTCTGAGGTTGTTTCTGAACCTTAGCCTGTATAACCTGTCTGTGGGTAAAAAAAATACTGGACTTTGGAAACTGTAGAAGAGCCAAATTTCCTAGTTATTTATTTAAATATACTGCAAAATAATGTTACTTAATAAAAGTACGAACAGGCCTTGAATCTGATTCTTCCATGAGAGAAGCTGCAGTTCTCCTTCCAAAAATGGCCAGTAGTGGAGGAATTGATCAGATTTATCCTAACTTTGTCACTGGCCCTGTCAAGTTGTAAAATAATTAGATGGCTAAAATACAACTTTAAATTTTGAAAAATTAGCTTGTCTCATTTGTGTTTCTCAAATGATTCTACACTTAAATGATCAATATACTACATTGAATCAGTAAAAACTACTTTATCAACTCAATATATATCTTCTGTAATTGTTAGCATCAAACATACAGGTTTTCAAAAATTGAGATATTTGAAGCTGTAAAGTATCTCAAGAACCTCAAGCTCTAAAACTGTAAAATTTCAATGTTTTTAATAAACAAAAGGTTTGGCTTAATAAATAAAAGGCTCTGATTTTTAAAATGAATCAAAGAAAAAATACTGAATTTGCCCATAAAAGGTTTTTATTGGTATACTCTTGAAATGTACTTAAGAGTTCTAACCTGAAATCCGTTCCCTTTTTAGATTCACTATTTTGTATCAAGAAGTCGACTTTCTTAACATTAGTAGAATTTGGTATTTCTTTGGACTGAGTAAAGCACAGCCTCTCGAACACCGGTGACAGGCCTTGTTTTCTGTCATGAGGGGAAACCTGTATTTGGTGTAAAAAATAACAGTCATTGAAAGTTTAAGTATTCACACAACCTCCCCCCCCAACCCCAAAAGAAACAGGGGGGTTCTTCTGCTTACAGTATTTGTATTTCTGGCCTGTTCTGGCAATTGCATCATGGAGGATGGACCCAAGTCAGACATAGCATGGTTTGATAAACAAGTATATGGCTTCTCATATGATGAAACAAAACTAAAATTTTAAATTAATTATTTGTAAAACATTGTAGTAACATTTTAATTTACATTAACAGTGTATATTTGAGGAATGTAAAATTGATCATACTTATAAAAATTGATGATCCATGTTATCCTATTATTAAAAATTGATCTATATTTTACACTCATGGAAAACTTAGTATATTTCCTTTTCAAGATGAATTTACATATTCCAAATTACATAAGAGTACCAGTTTTTAAGGGAGTATAGAAATAATCCTAGAATAATTCTTCTTAAAATTCAGTCTTGCTGGGTGGTGGTGGCTCATATCTGTAATTCTAGCTAATCAGGAGGCTGAGAGCTGAGAATTGTGGTTCAAAGTCAGCCTTGGCAGGAAAGTCTGTGAGATTCTTATCTCTAATTAATCACCAGAAAACCATAAATGGAGCTGAGGCTCAAGTGGCAGAGTGCTAGCCTTGAGCAAAAGAGCTCAGGCCCTGTTTTCAAACCCTACAGCTCTCTCTCTCTCTCTCTCTCTCTCTCTCTCTCTCTCTCACACACACACACACACACACACAAACACACACATTGAGTCTTATACTTAACTACTTAACTACAGGTAGCCTAACCCACCAAATTATGAAGGCACTTGAATTTGTGACCCTTGACTTATAGACTCATCTAATCAGGACATTCAATGTTCCTTCACAATCAGACTATGGCAATCTCATCCTTAATACTATAGTAATTCCTATGGTAACACTGATCCTTGAGCATGAAATGTCTCAAAAGTCTTATTCTTTTACAGCTGTTTCTTTATACATAGAACCCCTGTTCACTCCTGTTTTACTTTTCTTAAAAAATATAAAAATTCTGGGGCTGGGAAGGTGGCTCAATGGTAGATGCTTGCCTTGCATGCATGAGGCCCTGGGTTCAATTCCTTAGTACCACATAAGCAAAAAAGCCAGAAGTGGCACTGTGGCTCAAATGGTAGAGAGCTGGCCTTGATCTGAAGAGCTGAGGGACAGTGCCCAGGCCCAGAGTTCAAGCACCATGACTGACCAAAAAAAAATAAAAAAATAAAATAAAAAATTATAAAAAAATATAAAAATTCCTGAGTTCCAAAAGACCATGATTTAGTAGGAGGGCCCCAGAAATGTACATTTTTAATATGCATCTGCTGATGATTCTGAGGCAGGTGGCTTAACAGAAACATATCTAACATACATCTAAGATTAAGAAGGGTTGTCTAGAACCTTATGGATTCCCTGACACCTAATAATTCAGTCTCATATTCTGATTGTCTTTCAAGAGGATACAAAGCTGAAAGAATTACAAACCAAAGTTCTAAAAACTTGCCTGTTGGACACTGTGTTTTGTAATTTTCTCTTTGACTTTTGGAGGGGTAGCTTACTTCCCCTGGCACTTGAACTCGGGGTGTCTCCAAAGCCTAAAATACGAAGGAACAGCTGAATTAAACTTTTTTTTTTTTTTTTGCCAGTCATGGACTTGAACTCTGGGCCTGGGCACTGTCCCTGAGCATTTCAGCTCAAAGTGAGCACTCTACCATTTGACCCACAGCACCACTTCTGGTTTTCTGGTGGTTCATTGGAGATAAGAGTCTCACAGACTTTCCTGCCCAGGCTGGCTTTGAACCGTAACCCTCAGATCTCAGCCTCCTGAGTAGCTAGGATTACAGGTGTGAGCTACCACCACCTGGAAAACTTTTTTAAAAATAAATTCCACTAGAGATTTCTTCTGTAGATATGATGCAGTTTTTAAAAGAAGAATTGACTCTTCTAATTGTGTATAAAATAAGGCAAAAGCTAGAGAAATAAATATAAAACATGTAAGTTAGCTTATGAGTCACTATGATTGAAGGTTCTCAGATCATCACTATTTGCTTACTTTTTAATTCAGGCAAACAATCAAGTTGAAATGCATTCAACATTCTCAAGGGTCTGCGTGTTATTAAAGTGAATCAGTTCATTGAAATTGACTGTCCAGTGACAGGGCTACTGAATTAAAGACCAGTATTCACTGCCTGCTATCAGTTCACAATGCCATTCAGTCCGGAGGCAGGAGTTATTGTCCAGCGATACAGGAAACTGCCTACTGACACACGTCAGAGAGATTTTCCAGATAATTTTGTGAACAGTGTAATAATTTTCTTGAAGATGATTAGCATTTTAGGTAATTCTTAATACTCTAAGATAACAGTATTAAAACTTCTAACTGGTTCCCTGAGGTAGGATACATTAAGAAGCAACAAAACCATAATGATGGGAATATGAGTCTCCATGAGAAGGCTGAAGACTGATTTCAGTCAGTATTTATGGGGGAAGAGTATCTCCACTTGTTATCTTGTCAAGCATTTAGCAAGATTTTCAATTTTGTGTTTTAGTGAAATGAATTTGTCTGCAACTCAAAGAACTAAGTCTCATGATTTTTTCATTTGTATCTGATTTAAATACAACTTCCAATACCAAAGAAATGGATCTTCTCTTTTTTGCTCGTATCTGAAAAGTCAATGTTTTGACTAGAAGTTATTTTATTTTCTCTGTAAGTAGATGAATACATTTAAAAACATTTTTGCCCTTCACAAATATTAGAGATCATGTGTGATCTTAGAGAGCAGAAGAGTTTGTTTCATGAGGGAAAATTTAATGAACAGTCTGAATTTGAATGGAGTCTTTAATAAGAGGAGCAACAAATAAAAAAAAGCTCAACTGATATGTCAATATCCATAAAATAACCTTGACTTCTACCTACAGGAGGAAAAATCATGATGGGTCACTTTTGCAGTTTTGCTAGAAATTACAACCTTAACAAACCAAATCTAAGTAAGTACAAATAAAAAGGCAAAGATAATTAGTCCCAAGAACCAAATTAGAAAAATAAACAAAAGACAATGTATTTACCTGATGTTGTTGTCCTCTTAGTATCAGTTAAAAAACTACTAATTTCGATTAAGTTTTCATCATCAAAATCTTCCCAAACTTCACTTCCCAATTCAAAGTTCACATTCAAAACTTCTGAAAATGGAGATTTGCTAGTATCTTCATCTGTCAAATTCTGGTTTCCAGATATATTAAGATTTCTTTTGAATACTTTTGTCTGAGGGGCTTCCTCATTCAAAGTTGTAGAATAGTTCCATCCAGAAAATTCTATTATGTGTCCATATAAAAGATTAAAATTTCTTTTAAAATCATAAGTATCATTGTGTGTATACATACACACATACATATATATACATATATACACACATACACAAAACTTATCTGTCAAGTCACTAAGCAGAGCTCTTGAGCAGTAGTTTCAAAACACTGTGTCAAGCATTGTTGTTCGAGAGTTGTATTAAATCTAATTTTTAATAGTTTTAAAGATAACTAATTTTCCTCTTAATTTCTACATGAAAATAACTCTATAAATTTCATTATATAGTTTTCCTACCCTACAGATAAATAAAGACCATAAGGAATAGTAAAAATAGTGCAGTAGATTAGAAAGTAATTTGTAACAAGTTCCTAATTTATCCTAAGTAATTAAGAAAAAGAAAAAGAGCACAGCTAGGAATTAAGAAAATAGAGTTTAGATGCTGATATGTTAACTTTTGATAAACATATCTCAGAAGGTGTTTATATAGATGTATTTGTAATTAGAAGTATAGATTCAAAAACCCTCAGAGTATAGTTAGTAATTGAAGACTTGGGCTTACATGAAATTATCTAGGAAAAGTTGGTTTGAAGTGAAAAGAATAAAGAAGCAAAAAGAAAATAATCCATTTGTAAGATCAACAGGAAAAGCTCAGACAGTCTGAGAATGATTAAAGCAAAAGAAAGTAACAAATCTCAAATACAGAGGTCAAAAAGTGAAATTTGGAAATTATTAAATGACTTCATCAGTCAGGAGGTCATTAAATGGTGGTTTCAAAGTAGTGACAGAAAGGAACCCACAATTGAATGAATGAACAACAGTGCCCAGGTAGTAAGAAAGTGAACAAAGTGAGTGTAAAATTGCTCATCTGGGACTCTCAGTTTTGATGAGAAAGCAGCAAAGAGAGGACATGGAATCCTGGTTTGGGTCCATCTGTCATGCTTTCCCCTCTTTCAGTAGAAGCACCTCCCTTTTGCTTTGAAGTAGCATGCCTCCACTATTCCACAAGATCTTGTTGAGCCTTTGTTTATGGTTCCCTGCCTTTTTTAAGGCCATGGGGACAAAATGACCCAATGCCCAGACTATAGGGATTGATCAAGGATGAACACATGACTCAAATGAAGCCAATTAGAATGAATTCAGGTCTACAATTCAACAAGAAGATTGTATTTTTCTATTGAGGGTGTTAAATAGGAAGACAAACTTTAGGGATTATCTGCTACGTAGAGAGTCTATTTAGCAGGGGCTGGGAAGGTGACTCAGTGGTAAAGCACTTGCCTTGCATGCCTGAGGCCCTGGGTTCGATTCCTCAGCACCACATAAGCAAAAAGCTGGAAGTGGTGCTGTGGCTCAAGTGGTAGAGCGCTAGCCTTGAGCTGAAGAGCTGAGGGACAGTGCCCAGGCCCAGAGTTCAGGCCCCACGACCGGACACCGCCCCCCCCCCCCCAAAAAAAAGAAAGAAAGTCTATTTAACAAATCAAGCCAATCATCATCAGGCATAGTTTAAAAACATGAGGGAAAGGGAGAGGTGTGTATAATTTGAATGCCAAAACTAAAGGCAGTTTACATGAGATAATGTTATCCTTTTGTGTGATTATGTCTCTTTAAGTAGAATTTTTATCACTTGCAGTAAAAAAAATAAAAAAGGTCATGACTAGCTAGATTGACATATGTAGCTGAAGAAGGAAAAGACAGGCAGAGAGAAAAGGATGAAGACAGAGGAAAGAAGAGAGGAATACTGGTTCTCAAATGTCCCTGTGAGGGTAGGATTAGATGCCATTAAGATTATAGTTGGGTCTCAGCTACTTGGGAGGTGGAGGGAGGAAGATCACAAGTTAAAGACCAGCCCAGGCAAAGTTAGCAAGACCATTTCAAATTGAGAGACTTAGAAAAAATTGTTATGTGAAGACCCCCAAAAACTTAGGTCTCATGGTTTCCCTTATTTGCAATAACTAGTATACATCTAGGATAATCTTACCAGACAAGCAGAAAAGGTCAAAAGCTATGTACAAATGACCATATAAGATGATGCTAAGCGAAATGAACCCCAAGATAGGAACACAAGAGGTTTCATCTTTGTTGCTGCTGTTTTTAATGTACTATGTGATTTTTTTTTGTGTTTTTTGTATGTTCTTCCCCCATAGTATAACCCCTATTTCCACTGTATTTGATTCTAGTGCCCTGCATCTTGTATATACATTTTTCTAATTTGGGGAGGGGAAGGGAAATAACAAAATACTGAAAAAATGATACAGTTGACTCATTGTAACAATGAAATGTACAAGACACTAAATTGAAAATGAACTTTACAACTTTGGGGAGGGGAGGGAGGAGTTGGGGTGGTGGGGAAGGAAGGAATGGTAGGGGAAAAACAAAGGAGGGGGTAATAATGCTCAATAGGAAATGTACTCATTACCTTACTCATGTAACTGTAACCCCTTTGTACAGTATCTTTACAATAAAAAATATATATTAAAGAAAACAAAATACAAAACAGAAGGACTGCATGTGTGGCTCAAATGACTGTGTGCCTAGCATTTATGAGGCCCTGGGTTCAATTCTTAGTACTAGAAATAAATAAAATAAATGATATGGAGAAAGAGAGAGAGAGTGAGAGAGCAAGAGAGAGAGAGAGAGAGAATGCTTGAATAGAAGAAAAATGTTCCCAGAGACAGAGAAAGAAATAGTTGAAATAGGATGGGTTGGTACAATGGAAAGTTGGAAGAGTTCATATACTATAATATGAACACTCAGTTTTCCACTGATAACCAAAAGTCAATTTCATTTTGTAGAAATGGCATTGGACTGGGTATCAAGAGACATGGAATCTATTTCTGGCCCTGTATTAATTAGGTATGTGATTTTGGGCAAGTCATTTAATCTATCAGAATCTTGGTTTCTTTCATTGTAAGATGAGAAACTACATAAAGCACACTTCTACAATTTAAGTTTTATGATTCAACATGCTTTCTCATATAACATAATTTTTTCTTCCCTTCTTGAAAATTGGGATACATATGATAAGAATTGCCATGTTTGTGTTAAAACATTCTTAAGAGTAGTATTTGAGTACAGTTATGTTTTGCCAAGAAAGAATGTCTGAAAATATAAGCCTACTTAATTGTTACAATTAATAGTACCCGATTAACAGCTTTAACTACCTGTCTCAATTCTAAAATCTTTAGAATAAAATTAGATGAGGGAACTGAAATAAAGGGTAAAGTATACTATGAGACACTACAGTCAATGGCATAAGTAGAACTCTGACTTAGCAGATTATTTCCAGTTCCTGTGTGTCTAACTACCACACTACAGGCTCTCCTGAATGAAAGAAGGAAAAGAATAAAGGTAAAACAGGAATATAGTTATTACTGGGGGTTCCAATCTAGATGATAAGTTAGTATCATAATATAGATTAGAGTTGGGATTAGTGGGTGGAAAAGAAGCAAAAGTAGGAAAACCATGAAAATATAACTAGAAGTAAGCAGAGTAAAGGATGAACTATATAGAAGGGCAGGGAACAGAGTAGCAGTATAAGAAAAAAATTAGAAGGCTATAAGAGGGTTGAACATTTTAAACCTCCTATCCATTTTGTAATAATATCCAGGCTTTGAACGAGTAGGACAAAATGTTCCTTGTTCAGGATAGGCAGGTAAAAAGGAAATAACAATAACACAAGGGAACCAGGAGAACTGTTACAGTACCACACTTAGGTACATTTTGTCAGCCAGTTCTATGGTAGAGATTACTTCTTGATATAGAAGCCAACAGTCCCCAAGACAACCGCAAAGGAGACTAGAGATGAGCCAGAGGCCTCATCTTCATCTCATTACAATCCTGTTTTCAATTCCTTGGCTCAATGAGGGCATCTTATTAGGTAAACCATTCTCATTCTTGGAGATATACTTTCATTTCTTGGACAATTCCACCATTAGCACAATCACTACTGCAACCATTAAGCCCTACTCCATAAAACTGACAACGACTCGGGGATAGACACACTTGACTGCTTGGCCAAGCTGTCTGCCCTCAGTTTCCCTTAAGAGGTATACTATCGCTCTAGGACCGTTTTCTGCTTTAACAAAACCTAGCTTTCACTTTTTTAATCTGTGCTGTCAAATACTACTCTATTGTCTGCCCCTGAAATCTTTAATCTTTCACTCTTCAACTCAGAATAGGGAATTAAAAAAAATGATGTTACGGTACTTTAAAAAGTGGCAGGTAGGACTGGGAATGTACCTTAGTGGTAGAGTGCTTGCCTAGCACGCATGAAGACCTAGGTTCAATTCAGTACCACATACTCAGAAAAAGCTGGAAGTAGCACTTTGGCTCAACTGGTAGAGTGCTAGCCTTGAGCAAAAAGAAGCTCAGGGACATTGCGCAGGCCCTGAGTTCAAGCCTCAAGACTATCCAAAAAACAAAAAAACAAAAAACAGTGCCAGATACTTCACCTCTTTCCTCCCTACATTTATTGAGTGACTGATTTTTTTTTTTTAATGCTAGGGGTTGAATCTAAGGCTTCACATATACTAGACAAGCCCCTCTATCACTGAGCTGCATCCATAGCCCTCTAAGATCCTAAATTATAACGGAAGGAAACATAAAATGACAGTGTCAAAGAATGGAAACAAAAGGCAATGACAGAGACAGTATTTTTTTTTCAGAAAATCGCCAACTTATTATTTCATACCATTTTATTTATACTTACAATGAACAAACAACTCACTGATTGTGATTATTTCTCATTCATTTTCACAGAGTAGTGATTAATAGGATGATCTAGGGAAATAATGCTAATAATATCAGGAGTCATAATGAACATTAGCAATGATGATGATGAGTTAACATGCTTAACTCACTAGTTAGAGATACAGGTGAAAAGCAAAACTTGTAAGTCTTCTGTTCCCCTCAACTTACTTTATCTTTCTATTGTATTAAAGAAATGATAAGAAACATAGGTTTAAGAACTAAAGAGATGTTTTTTTCAGCTCTTCCTTACATTATTTTTAAATAAAATAGTCAACACTGTGTAGGGAAGTTGCCTTTTTGACATAGAGTAAGACCATCTGAAATAACAAAGCCAAAACCATGAAAGCAGCCCATTAACCCAGGGGAAAAATTGCTAAGTTAATCATCATAATAATTATGAACATTTTTTAAACAACATTACTTGTCAATCCAAAGTAGTGCCAAATCCATTCATTCTCAAGTCAATATAATGACAATTTACCTTTGCCCTGATATTCAAATGGTCCCTGTTGAACTTTTCCACAGATTTCATTCTGATCCTTCTGCTCAACTACATGCCATTCAGGTAAGCTTAAATTTTCAGATCTTTATTAAGAGAAATAAAACCATAAAAATGTTAAAGCCAGGCACTGATGGCTCACACCTGTAATCCTAGTTACTCAAGAGGCTGAGAGCTAAGGATCACTGTTCAAAGCCAGTCCAGCAGGGAATTCTGTGAGATTCTCATCTCCAGTTAACCACCAGAAAGCACGAAGTGGAGCTGAAGTATAGCACTAGCCTTTACAGCAGACCTAGGTCCTGAGTTCAAGCTCCATGACCGACCCCCAACCCCCAAAAAGTGCAAAAGTTAAACAAAGGATGAAAATGAATCTGGCTTTAAAAACTACTTATTTGCATAAAAGAGAAAACTGTTTATGTACCCATCATTTCTGTGATAAACTGTATCTTGCCTTGGCAGCGAAGTGTAAAAGATGTTGTTGAATGGAAGAGACCAGTACTTAGCTTTACATGTCCCAAATGAATATTTGCTATCATCATATAGTCCTTAAAAATGTATTACTATTTCTGTTTTAAGTTAGATAAAAACGGATCTTTAGAAGTAATGTTAGGATCTAGTGTTGATTAGTAATTTCTTGTTCTGTATTAGTTAATAAATTAATTGACTGTCCTTCCTGGATATAGAACACTCTTACCTGGATGATTCTAAATCATAACATGAGAAAAGAACAATGTACTGGCATCAAGGCCTTCTGCTTACTAACTAGAAATATGAAGTTCGTGTCTTTTATCAATAAAATGAGATGAAAATACTTTGTGAGCAAGGTGGTTAAGATAAAAAAGAAATGATGCACAAAAGTAAGACTTTCAAATTATAAAGTATTTTATAAATCTAAGGTATTAACAATATGGAATGAGCACTTGAACAGAAAGTTTGGACTTTGTATACTAACATGATGTCCCTTTCTAAAACCCAATGTATTCCTGCCACCTAGATTAGAAGGCAGCAAATCTGACAAGATGACACATAGAATAGTTTCCTAGGGAAAAGATGGTTCAATGAATGTTCAAATATTCTATAACTGTAGAGTTCTAAACAAATGTATGGAACAAAAGATGACAAAATGTGTGTGTGTATGCGTGTGTATAAATAATATAGTTGCTTCACCATGGAACTAAATGATTAGCATGATTTTCTGTGAGTAGCCAATGACCACCTTCTGCTGAAAAAGTGGCTAGAGAAACAAATAATTTAAAATGAATATTTTAACTTAGATATTAACATTATATTTGTACCTTGATCTATTGGATATAGAAGGTTTTGGAGTAAAACCAAACTCTTTGAGATCCACACTTTGAGATTTATTCATCTGTAGCTATTAATGAAAAAATTACATTTATTTTTATTTCAAATTAAATCAATTAATAATTTCAAATTAACTTTAACACATCAGCCAAACATCAAAATTCCTGCTGGTACAGGTCCAGAACTCAATAAAGTGAGGAGAAATCCAGGCTAATTCCAACTCAAATTTTCTTCTCACATACTGGCAATCTTCATAGTTCTTTAGGAGGTCTTCTTTTCTCACTCTGTATGTTCTCACTGAAAGATCTATTTAGTCCCATGGCTTCAAAGATTGTCTACATATGACTATCAAAATCGTATTTCTAACTCAGCCCTCTCTCTTGATTTTCAAATATTGATATCCAATTGCCTGAAGATTGTCTTTTACATATAAATCTTGGCCTGTAAGTCCTCTCAGGTTTTAGTGTCGTGTATTGAACTTGGGTCCTTATGCATGCTAGGCAAGGGCTCTTCCACTGTGCTATATCCTCAGCCCTAAATCCATTATTTCCTAAAGTGACTCAACACTTTCTTTCTCCAAATGTGTTTTTCTTTTGGTGTTCTTGCCAGAGAGATGCTCAGCTTTCCTTCCTGTTATTCAAGCCAGAAGTCTGGGCATCATACTTTTGACTGTTCTTCTTACCTCACCTCCCATAATAATGAAATAACAAAGTAGTTGGATCATATTACCTCTGAACAATCTCTTAAAATACTCATTTCTCTCTACTGCTACTACCATTGCTCTAGACTAGACCTATGAATTATTGAAAAAAATAAAAACAAGTTAATGATTCCTCAAGTTCCTATTTTTAAACTTCTATCCCCCTCTCTATCTTGCTGCAAAAGATCTTTATAAAATATAATTCTGATCATATCACTCAATACTTCAAGAAAAATTATATATTCCTAAAATAGCAAAAAGGTCTTCATGATCCAGTTCCTATGTGTCACATTTTTTTTCTCTCTCCCTTTCTTTCTCCCTCCTCCCCTAATACATACATTTGCATATTCTTGCCTGGAATATTACATCACTTGCACCATTATTCTGGTATTCTACCCCTCTGTACTTGACTTCTCCTTTGGGTCTCAACCACATCTATTAAGAATCCTTTCCTGGCCCATAAAATGTGTATGGAGTACACATCTTATTTAACTGAAGTATCTTATACTTCTGTCATAGAAGTATAAATAAGGCTTATTACCTAAGTACTTCATTCAACTATGAATTCTTATTTATCATTATATCTTAACCTGAAATATTCTTGATGCTCAATGAATATGGAATGAAAAAAGGAGAAAAGAAGGAAGGAAGGAAAACTTATGCTATTAAAAATTAGCATGATCACACAGTGGTGATCATTATAAACCTCATGTTCCTTCTCATTTCCCAACATTCCCCATTTTAGCCATCTAACAGAATCTTTTTTCTTCTTTTTTTTTTTAGTCAGACGTGGGGCCTGAACTCTGGGCCTGGGCACTGTCCTTCAGCTCTTCAGCTTAAGGCTAGCGCTCTACCACTTGAGCCACAGCGCCACTTCCAGCCTTTTCTGCTATGTGGTGCTGAGGAATCAAACCCAGGGCCTCATGCATGCAAGGCAAGCACTCTACCCCTGAGCCACTTTCCCAGCCCAGAATCTTTATTCTTATGAAAATCCTAACAAAAAGGATTTTCTAGGATATAATTTAGGCTCAAGGTAAATCTGCTACTGACTAGCCTACCAACCAGTAGAAATTCATTCTTTCATTGCTTGGAAGGAAGGCTCTAGCTCAGTACCCATTTAGATGCAGATCAACTTCAGAATTTCCATCCCAGTCCAGGACAGATGACGGAAGGGCAAGAAATGAAGTGGCTTGGTGACATGGCTCAAGTTGTAGAGTACTTGCTTAGCATGTTAAAGACCCAGGGTCTTTATATACTTTATATACTGTAAATACCTACCTAATGGATACACAGAACAAATATTTACTTTCACTTAACAATAAAAAAGAAAAAATGATACTAAAACTAACCTTGAGACATTTAAATGGAGGAAGAGATGAAACAGCATTCCTGTTCCTTAAGTCAGATAAATATGAAGAAATTGCTGACTCTTTAACTTCTAACTTCTGTGCAACCCCAATTTTACCTATAAAAATGTAAGATTCTTTAGATTAAACTTTAATTATTATTCAATATAAAGCTAATTTTATTTCAAATTTAATATTTACTTTTTCCATTTTGCTCCAAAAGAAAGAAAACTATTTCAGACTTGTAAGTTGCATGATAGATAGATAACCAGGATGTTATTTCTAGATAATTGGGAGGCCAAGGACATTCACTTTTAGTTTGAAACAAAGTTGTTCTAGAGAACTCACAGCAGTCATGTCCACATGTATGTTTATTTTTGCAGTGATGATTGCATTCTCGGTTCCCAGGTTTTTTGCAAGGAGTTGTTCCTAAATTAAAATAGGAAATGCAAACCACTTTGTTATTAAATCTATTATTTTGAACTAATATGTCATTTTTCCCAGTCTCTTTTTTCTCATATAGAACAAGAGGATTATGATATTTATTCTTCCTCAAATGTTAACCATATACAATTTTAAAATACGACTCTTCATTTTATCAGTATATATTAATTGTACAAAAGGGTTTTATTGTGTGGTATTTCCATCTATGCTTATGAGATACTTAGATCAAATACCCCCTCTATTATCACCCTATTGATTCTTCTATTTAACAATTTTAAACGGTTTCACTACTCTACTTTCACATGCGTATATACTTTCATTCTCTCCTCTCCCATTCGTTCCCACTGTCAGTCTCCTCATCCTTATCTAAAAGTTATTTCTGATAACAGTTCCTGTCTCACTGTTAGTTCATCCTGTTTTTCCCAAGAAATATCAAGATATTGATGTTTCTTTCAACCTTCCTATTATAAATAGAGCCAAATAAATACAGCCAAAAACTTTGTCTTGAATGAGGGGAAGATGAGGGTGCAGATTTAAAACATTTTTCTGTTTAATAGTTAAGCCCGAGAAGCTGGAGAGAAGCAAATTTCAAGATAGTTTGATGGCACCACTGTCTGGCTGTTAAATAGTATACACATAGACACAATAAATCTTATAAATAAGTGCTTTAGAGATATAAGAATTGGCTATGTGGGCTGGGATGGTGGCTCAGTGGTAGAGCGCTTGCTTTGCATGTCTGAAGCCCTGGGTTCGATTCCTCAGCAAAAAGAAAAAAGTCAGAAGTGGCACTGTGGCTCAAGTGGTAGAGTGCTAGCCTTGAGCTGAAGAGCTGAGGGACAGTGCTCAGGCCCAGAGTTCAGGCCCCACAACCGGACCCAAAAACAAAACAAAACAAAAAAAAAGAATTGGCTATGTGAATTCAAGGAAATTCGAGTTTTGACTGCTCAAATTTAAAATAAATGTATTCAGGTATGCAATTTATCCTTTATTTACTTTTTTTTTTCTGGTCATGGGGCTTGAACCCTGAACCTGGGTGCTGTCCCTCAGCTCTTCAGCTCAAGGGAAGTGTTCCACTTGAGCCACAGCACCACCTCTGGTTTTCTGGTGTCTTTTTTTTTTTTTTTTGGTCCGGTTGTGGGGCCTGAGCTCTGGGCCTGAGCACTGTCCCTTAGCTCTTCAGCTCAAGGCTAGTGCCCTACCACTTGAGCCACAGTGCCACTTCCAGCTTTTTTCTTTTTGCTTATGTGGTGCTGAGGAATCGAACCCAGGGCCTCAGGCATACAAGGCAAGTGCTCTACCACTGAGCCAACTTCCCAGCCCTCTGGTGTCTTTTTTATTGGACATAAAGAGTCTCATGGAGTTTCCTGCCCAGGCTGGCTTTGAACCGTGATCCTCAGATCTCAGCCTCCTGAGTACCTATGATTACAGGTGTGAGCCACCAGTGCCCAGCTTATTTACTGTATTTTAAATGGACCTGTTTTGGTTTATGCTGGTACTGGGCCTTGAACTCAGGTCCTGGGCACTATCCCTGAGGTTTTTGGTTTTGGCTTTTTTCCTCAAAGTTAGCACTCTACCACTTGAGCCACAGCTCCATTTTCAGTTTTTCTGGTGCTTAATTAGAGATAAGAGTCTCATGGACTTTGCTACCCAGGCTGGCTGGTCCTCAGATCTCAGACTCCTGAGTAGCTAGGATTATAGGCATGAACCACCAGCACCTGGTTTAAGTAGACCCTTTCTTGATCTTACTGTCAAAACTAACATTGAGTTGGGGGAGATATTTAATTGGTTCTTAAAGGACAGACTGACATCTAGGTATGAGAAGGAGCACAATGATAAAGGCATAATGCTCAAGGGTAGAAAAATCACAGATTGTAAAAACAGACAGCAGCTTATTTTTGTGGAATGTAACTTTTAAGTGACCTGCGCATATTGAAGATGGCAGAGAGTTTTGAAAACCTTTTACCTTTCTCAGTCCTTTACCCTTCATTTTTAGTGCCAATGTTTAATGTTTTTCAAGCTATGTACCACCAAGACAATGTAGTTGTTTAGGATAAATGCAAGAGGTTGCTCAATATATGAGACAAGAGATAACTCTTTCTGGGCTGAGCAGGTCAGGCTATCAGGTACTATTATAGTTAAGATATGAAGAATTCTCCAAAAGCACATGTATTGAAGGCTTGGTCCCTAGTTGGTGGACCTAATCATTGAGAGGTGAGTGGATCATGAGGGCTCTATACTAGTCCACTGAGGAATTCATAACTGTATGGCACTATTGGGAGGTGGTGGGTTGTGAGGCCTGGTTGGAGGAGGAAGATTACTGAGAGAGTGCACTTGAAGGGAATTATGAAATCCTTGAAGGGAATCCTGTCCTGCTCCCTGGCTGACATGAGGTGAGTGACTTTTCTCCCATGTCGGTCTGCCATGGTATACGGCCTCACCACAGGACAAAAATAGAGCCAGCCAAATGCAGACTGACGTTTCTGAAACTGAGAGTCCAAACAAATCTCTCTTCCTTTTAAACTGTTTCTCTCAAGTATTTGCCACAATGACAAAAATTAACACATGTACTGATGATTTTTAAAGTCCCTGGCATTTGCATGTTGACAGATAAATCACAGTAGTCTCAACTAAACATAAATCATTTTGAGATGATAAACAGTATTCAGATAAGACTACTCTGTGACCCATACTAGAAGACAGAGATAGGACTACCAAGTAATGATTTCTGAAACCAGACAGAATGCTCATGAACCACAAAAATAATGAAACATCCCCCTCTTCTGGCTAACAGAAATGACTACTATTTTTTTCAACCTATCTTCAATATAAAAACTAACAAAATGGCTGATACCTTACTTTCTGATAGTACTTAAGACGTGACCCTTGTTTTCCCTTCATTCTTCAGTCTCCTCCAATTTATTATGAAATCCTATAATAAATTCCTTCTAACTCTGACTTGATCTGCTGTGCAGAGGACACTCCGCTCATTTCCTGTAGCATGTCACACAAACCATATTTTCCCCAAAGGCAAATAAGGGGCCATTGACAGATGGACATTATACTTTGTAAGGAGTTCCATGACTTACCAATTAAAAAAGTAGATCTCAACTTGTAATTATATTACCTTTCATTGAGACATTAACTGGTTTGAATCCAGACTCCCATGTTCCAATGTATTATATACATTGTTGCATAAGTAATCCTCCAAAAATTTGATTAATCTGTCCACTTAGCAACATTAGCTACTACTCTTGCTAAGAAAAGGAATCCTATATTTAAGGTCCTGAACAATCTTACTCCAGACTCCCTTTCTAGCACCCATATTAATTGTACTTCCATCAAAACACTCTCACTTGTCATTCTTCAAATTGTCCCACACCTTCCTTTGTATCTTTGGTTCCATCTGAGAATACCTTCTTCCAGGTTTTTCTGAAGTCTATCAAGTTTCAAAGTAGCTCAAATGTCATCCATACATCAGCCATTCAGGAAGGGCTGAGGAACTGGAAGATACCATTTGATACTGGATCATGGTAAGATGGATATAAGGAGCTGACTCCTTGGCCAGCAGGAGGCTCCCTATCCAGTGGGAGGCTGCAATGAAGCCGTGGCTCACCTGCTTCCCTGATTCCAGAAAGCCATGGGACTTGCCACTTTGCCCTTTCAGATACAGCTGCATGCTGTAAAACTGCTTAGCTCCAGCATAGAGTTCATATCTTAAAGAACAAAGCAACCCATCACTTCTATAACCTAGCCCCTCTAGTTCAGTGTTACCCTGTGGGATTGAAGATATGAGTGGATATGATCTCACTTTGCTGTGGGTGAAAGAATTTGCCTATCTAAAGAATTTAACTGCCTTATCTGTCTTTGTGTCTCTTGTGTACTTCCTGCCAAATCTTTAGATGTGAGGTAAGACCAGGTATCATATGCCATATTGCTGCTTAGGGATTGGTTGGGCATGTGACCATGTGCTTGTAGGACCTGCTAATGACCTTTGTTTTAAGCAGAAAAGAGATATATTAAATTTATAGACTAAAAAAGGTCACTATATGGTTTATAATATGAAGAGATTTGGGAAAGGACAGACTGGATGCAATAAAACTAGTTAAGAAGAGTAAGAAGACTAGGCAAGAAAATGATGGCAACTCAGTCTATAGCAACAGCAGCAGAAGCAGAGTTAGACAAAATGGCTAGAAGACATATGGAAGGCAAAAATATTTTTAATGTAGAATCAAATGGAGTCCTTTTCTTTAACAGTATATTGTGTTCCTTTTAGCTTAGCCATATAAGTGTCTTAGAAGTTATATCTATATCTATCTATCTATATATTTTTTTTGGGGGGGTCTGGTTGTGGGGGCTGAACTCTGGGCCTGGGCGCTGTCCCTCAGCTCTTCAGCTCAAGGCTAGCGCTCTACCACTTGAGCCACAGCGCCACTTCTGGTTTTTTTCTTTTGCTTAAGTGGTGCTGGGGAATTGAACCCAGGGCCTCATGCATGCAAGGCAAGCACTCTACCACAGAGCCACCTTCCCAGCCCCAGAAGTTCAATATTTAAAAAAAAAAAAGATAAATACAAAAAGATACCCTAAGCTGAGTGCTGGTGGCTCATGCCTGTAATCCTAGCTACTCAGGAGGCTGAGATCTGAGGATCACGGTTCAAAGCCAACCCAGGCAGGGAAGTCTTTGAGACTCTTATTGCCAATAAACTACTAGAAAACCAGAAATGGCGCTGTGGCTCAAGCAGTAGAGCACTCCCCTTGAACTGAAGAGCTGAGGGATAGCACCCATGCCTGAGTTCAAGCCCCACGACCAACAAAAATAAATAAAGCACCCAATCCATTTGAGTCTCCCCCGCCCCCACCCCCCCCCCCCAAACTCATGGATGCCTCCTTTCTCTAGCTCTCTCCTCCTCCTAATGCAATAGGAACATATCTTTTTCTTTCTTTCTTTCTTTTTTTTTTTTGCCAG